TGTCCTCACCCATAACTATTTCACATTTGGGGACAATGTATACCTTCAAATCAGCGGCACTGCTATGGGTACCCGCATGGCCCCACAGTATGCCAACATTTTTATGGATGACTTAGAACAACGCTTCCTCAGCTCCGTCCCCTAATGCCCCTACTCTACTTGTGCTACATTGATGACATCTTCATCATCTAGACCCATGGAAAAGGAACCTATCCTTGCAACAAAACCCATTGCCAACTGTGTCCATATCTATTCAGAGGACACCATCATGGGGCCTAATCACATCAGCCACACTATCAGAGGCTCGTTCACCTGCACATCTACCAATGTGATATACACCATCATGTGCCAGCAATGCCCCTCTGCCATGTACATTGGCCAAACCGGACAGTCTCTATGTAAAAGCATAAATGGACACAAATCAGATGTCAAGAATTATAACATTCAAAAACCAATCGGAGAACACGTTAATCTCTTTGGTCACTCGATTACAGACCTAAAAGTTGCAATATTACAACAAAAAAAAATCAAAAATAGACTCCAATGAGAGACTGCTGAATTGGAATTAATTTGCAAACTGGACACCATTAAATTAGGCTTGAATAAAGACTGGGAGTGGATGTATCGTTACACAAAGTACAACTATTTCCCCATGTTTATTTTTCCCCCCTGGTGTTTCTCACACATTCTTGTCAACTGCTGGAAATGGCCCATCTTGATTATCACCAGAAAAGGTTGGGTTTTTTTGTTTGTTTTTTTCTCTCCTGTTGGTAATAGCTCACCTTAACTGATCACTCTCATTATAGTGTGTATGATAACACCCATTGTTTCATGTTCTCTGTGTATATATATATAGAACACACATATATATATCTTCCTACTGTATTTTCCACTGCATGCATTCGATGAAGAGGGTTTTAGCCCATGAAAGCTTATGCTCAAATAAATTTGTTAGTCTCTAAGGTGCCACAAGTACTCCTGTTCGTTTTACATTTCCAGTGTTGACTCACACTCCTGTACCAAATTAATACAAATAATTTTAAAGAGAAATAAAGAAAGAGTTTAAAAAAACACGTCCCAATAAGGTAGAATAGACATAATGTCTACACTACAAAAGCAAGTAATTTCATGACCTTACTTTGTGCAATCCATATCCCTCCCTTCCCCTTCCCACCTTGTCTGCTGCCATTTAGGCCTTTGTCATGAGGGCCTGGTCCTGAAGATTATTCATACAGTGTTTGTAGGATCAGTCCCATAAACTGTAAGTACCATACCAGATCTTCAATTGGTATAAATCAATGTAACGCCAATAAGCCAATGAAGTTCTGCCAGTTGAAACCACTGAAGATCCAGCTCCATTTTTTATATTTGTCTCTATATCAACAAACATCCATATTGTATGGTGCTGTGTTAATAAACATGCAGAATATACAGTACATGTGGGAAGTACATCACAAACGAGGTGATTGCTGGTGAACATGCTAATGCCTCGTGGCCATTTGCAGAAGTTCAACACCACACCTCATTATCTAACTGCAGTAACTGTAGAATATTTGATGGTCTTTGTTGCTAATAGTAGAGTCAAACCCAAGAAAATGGAAGGAAGGAAGTCTCATAGCACTCATTTGTTACTGCTATAGAGGGCCTTTAAGCCACATGGTGAGGCAACCAGGCTTCTGAGTCCTTATCAAACCTAATAAAAAAAGAATGATTGGGCATATGACACGTCCACAGGCTTCAAGAGGTTAAAATAAACAGCACAAAAGGAGGGTGCATGGAAGCATTTTCCAGCACAAGCAACAGGAATATGCAGCATCAAATGAGTAGTGTTTTATGAGCATGCCAATATCTTTTGAAATGGACTATTTGGGAGAGAGAGAGTTGCATGTTGAGAAAATAGCTACTATGTTCACATTATGTATACAGTAGCTATAGGCATTTGCAGCAATAGGAAGGTTAGGATCAAGGGGGCTTTCAGGAGGTGAAGATGAGAAAGTTAGCAAGGGCTAAACTGTGCAGGCACTTTCAACAATAAATCAAATATTGGTATGTGTTTTTTTATAAAATCTCACCATAGTTCTGAGGCCCAGCCTCACCTCATTGGCCATCTCCAGATAGGAAAGGGAAAGAAGAACAGGGAATAAAAATGGATCAAAATAGTGAGGCTAATAGTGTACTTAATATTTTACTCTTTTTAATAAACATTTTCTGCCATATGTCTAACGTCGGTGTTTGTTTTGGTGACAGTATATCATATTCTAGCAAGATAGCCCCATTGCAGCCAGAGTCACATGCTACAATAAAGCCTATTTTTCATGAGGCAATACATAGACCATCTAAAACTGTAGTGTGATTAGATAGGTTGATTGGCTCTCTGTAACCCTTTCATCATTCTGATATTTAAAAAAAAATTGAATTCACTAAGGGCCTGATCCAAAACACATTGAAATCAATTGGCGTCTTTCCATTGTCTTCAGGGGGCCTTGGGTCATGTCCTAAATCATTGGATGTTGACATATAAAGGGCTTGATTCTGCATTCTGTTAGGGCTGTACCTGTACATCCTGACTTGCGCCAGTGAAGGAGCTGGCATAGCAAAGCCATGCTCTGTCATACCCCTTACCCTCTCCATCCTGTCCAGGCCCCACCGCTGAAACACCCCCTTTTGCCCATTATGCTGGGAGCATTGAAGGCAGCTGGCAGAGGTCACAGAGGAGTCTCTTCCACCAGCTTTATGCCCATGGAGAGTTTCCCTGCACACGTGGAATACTTCACTAGCCATCTCAGAGTTCTTGTAAGTCACTTTGATCTTATCCAGTGCAAATCAATCTCAATGAACTGGGCAATCTAGCCTAACGTCCATAGTGGTCTCCAATAAAAGCTAGATTTTCAAAAGTGCTCAGCATGCACCATCTGAAAACAGCTCCACTCCCATTTAGGCACCAACAGATTTTCAAAAAAGCTCAACACAGTGAAAGTTGCAATGGGAGCTGCTGGGTGCTGAACACTTCTCAAAATCTGGTCCTTATTTAGTGCCTAAATGGGAGCTGAGCTCTTTCAGAAACCTGGCCGCGTTGCAGGTGCTGAATTTGTGAAAATCAGGCCCTATATGTCAACTTTTACCAACAATTATGACATGTTAATATTTGAGATTCCTCAGTATTTCTCTGTGTTTAGGATAGGGAAAAATAACTTACCTCAGATACTGGAAAGTAAGTTGAGATCTATATAATTTTATAGTTTTATATAATTCTAAATATAATTATATACGGGTATAATATAATTATTCTTACTAGTGGTGATGCTTGTGAAATTTAACGGTCACGATAATAATAGAACTAGGAAATAATTTTGTTTTTTGGTGGGAGTGAGTTCTAGCTCTAAATATGTTGTTTTCAAAAACAACCTTTCGGGCCTGATTACTTTCTAAGTGGCTCTTAGTAATCTGTTGTCAATAGCTTTTAAAATACTGAAGGTATTTACGTTAAAAATGTGTTACTATAACATTTTTTTTTGCCAGCACAACACTGCAGCACATGCATACCTTTCAGTACATGATTAATCCAGGCTGACTTCAAAGAACCTAAGGCTTGATCCTCCACCATTAAAGTTAATGGGAGCCTTTCCATTGATTTGAATGGCAGCAGAATCAAGACTCTACTCACGCACTTAAAGTTAAGTATGTGCTTAAATGATTTGTTGGATCAAGGCCTCAGGCTTTACAAACCTCAATGTGGGGAAACACTGTTACATTTCATTTTTTAAATTCTGATTCAAATATATGTTTTAATTATCATTGAACATTCACTGTCAAAACAATCAACTTGGAAATACCACTGTGAGCTGAGATAAAACACAACAACAACAAAAAAAAGGCCTTCAACGCACAGTGTCAGGAACCTAACTAGCTACAACCCCAAGTTCAGCAAGATACTTAAGCACATGCCAAACTTTAATCACATGATTAACCCCACTGACCTCAACGGGAACACACTGTAATTAAAGTTAAGCACATACTCAAGTTGCTTGCTGAACTGAGACTTTAAATGGTGTTGTTTCTAACAGCATGCCTCGCACTCCAAGGGGACTTGTTTTATGCTCACTTTTGTCCAGGGATATTTTTTTTCCTAAGAAACATGCTGCTAAATCATGTTCTAGTCTAGACTACCCCTCTAGGACTCTTATAGCAGGATTTCCTAATATGGGTCTCAGACAAGAAACTGCTGCCCCCAAAGGACAGGAAAACCTTAGTGGTACTAAGCTAGCAACAAATATATTTAAATATCACAGTAGCTGGCACAGTTCTGGTCCCAGTGTCAGCAAGCAAAAGAATGACATGTCATCCTCAAGTCACTTAAGGCCCAATCCAAAGACCATTGTGGTCAGTGGTGAGATTCCCATTGACTTCAATGGGCTTTTGATCAGCCCATTTGCTGTGACTAGGTATTGCAGAATATCTGGTTCTGCTCAGAAAAGAGGTGAGTTTTCAGACCATTTATATTGCAATTGTTCAAATAATCAGTAAGAAGTGTATTAAGGCTGTTTAATTCATAATTTCTCAGTTTTTATCAATATCTGTACAAGGGAGAGTACAGATATTTTTTCTCTTCTTTTGGTCTGTACCTCCTCCCTCAAGCTTTGTGTTTTGTCATACAACAGCATGAAGCCCTGCAGCCTAGAGTGATTGATGGTTGCTTCTGAAACCTCATTGCTGGTTTAAAGCTGCTAGTTAAGTGAAGTTTGCCAGTTCTTATGTTCATAGTTAGTCTTGAACCTGTGTTTTCTGGGTGGCATTACAATGCACTATTTTGCCAATGTTTGTATTATTTAAATTTCCCCCTCAAAAAACTTTATTTATTCTTAGAAAAAGTAGAGTACAATACAGTTGTACAAACAAGTGATCATTTATATGTAACTGAGCAAAAAATGTACAAAGATTTCAGACATGTCAAAATACATAAAAATAATTTAAAAAACAACATAAAATATAAAGAACATACAATGAAGGGAAAATAAAATGTCAGTTCAATGATCTTGTGTTTTCTTTCACCATCAGAAGTAACTGTCCCAAGGGGGAATCAAATAGTCAGAGAAAAAAGATAGCAGCAGAAAGAAGGCAAGTGGAGAAGAAAAGAAAGGTACGAACAGGAAAGAATAAAGGAAGAGAAAAATTGGTGTAAGTATAAGAACCTTTAATAACCAAAAAGGTGGCTGACACCATACGGAAAATGTGCCAGGACCTATGAAATAATATCTTGTTGGAGATCTGAGGCGAGGTAAACTTGATCCTGATTAGAATTCTCAGCAGTAATCATCTTTGACCCATTATGATCATATTAATAATCTCATATTTCTATTTCCGAGATACAGTGGGTTTCAGTTTACCAATTCCAAAGAGAAAGACTAAAAAGCTAAAGCTGTAAGTGCAGATTTTTTGAGGTAGGTTAAAATAGGTGTGTCCTCATCCAGCAGAGATATATGATGCACTATAGGGAAACTTAAGGCAGAAGATATAAGGCTGTGCATCCCAGTCCAGAGAGATAGGTTGTTGTTTTTTGTTATCCCCTCTCCACAGACCAAATTACTTGTGACTATTTCAGGGCAATTTCATCACCTTCCTCAATCCTGCACAGTTAGAAAGTTTTGCAGAGTGATGACTTGTGGGGTTGCAATAGTATCTATTGAAGTTATTTTGTTGAAAACAGAGTGAAAGCAGTAATGATGACATGATGCTGTTACAAATATATGAGTCAGTTAGTATAATTCTGTTCCTGCTGTGGACAGAGCATTAGATGTCGGCCTCCTTAATCTGAAAAATAGAGGAGAAGGAGAACACTGAGGACAGGAGAAAGAAAAAGACTGCTCGGTAGAATGATTTTACACTGGCTGATTAAAACGATGAGAAATTATAAACCAAGCAGCTTTAATTCACACTGTGATAGTTAAAGAATTGCAAATATATGGTATGAAAGATCCTTAGGGTCCTTAAAGGAGAGAGATGATGCAATATCTAATTGCAATTGAGTAAGATGAAAATGACGTAATTTCCTAGCTAGCAGGACATTAAAGTTCCATGTACACCAGCATTATAACTGTGATTTGTGTCATGTTCCAGTCTCTTCAGATTAAATACATTTATGTTTTATAGTCCACTTCATTCTAGATAAGGAAAGATCGAAAGAGAAATTTGATGAGCAAGTTGTAATAGTGGCAAGATGTGGCTTAACGGCCAATGTGTCAATCTTATCTTCTATAAGTGATGCAATACATTTCAGTTCTTGGCAAAGGAATCATTCTGTAAATAGCTGAAGAAAGTCAATGATTAGTCTAAAGTTGCTAATTCTCCTTAATGTGAAGATGTCACATAATTTGTTTTCTGGGATTAGATGGCACACACAGAGAATTTTACAGGATTTCCATGGTTGACTTTTTTATTCTTCTCAGTTTCAAAGTTTTAGTTATATAGAGTGTAACATTCGATATGGAAAAAAGGGAGGGGGGGCTACAATGGCTTGATGACTTTGAGGATAGCACAAGAGAATTGTTCTTCTGGGGGGATAGCTGAGGGCAGAAAGACATAGCTGATAAAGTATCGATGGAGCCTGCTAAGTCTATTACAGTTAGCAGCCATGTTGGGTCATAATGGCAGTGAGCATTTGGAAACCATCTTTCAGACTGTCAAATAAATTGAAAAATAGCCAAGACTCGGTGTTGTGGGAAAGCCCTCACAAATTGACTGACCCAAATTATATTCGTTTGTTGAGCTTGTGAAAGACATGAGCAGCAATTGTACTAAAAGGTTACTGGACTTAGGATGCTCTGACCCTCTGTACCTCAAATTAGCACCCTGGAACCACCATATTCACCACTGTGATATTATGATATTTTTGTAGAAAGTATACCTTTTGAGGTATCATTTCAAAAGTCTTGATCTGCTGAACATTAATATCCTTTTGATTGTATGTACTATCATTGTACGTGAAGTTATGAAGTATTGCTATATGTGTTACTGTAATGTGTTGTGAAGTTGGGAACACCCACAACAACAAAGTTACAACAAAGGAGTTACAAGAAAGGAGTAGCCAGCAACAGCCAGACAGTGTCAATGGCCCATCAACACCCATCAAGAAAAGAATCCACTATCCCAGAGACTTCTCAGAGAGATCACGTATGCAATGGAGACTGCTTGACCAATGGCGACTGCCTGATCCCCATGTGACAACAAGGATCTTTCCAGCAAGCTGGAAGACAGTATAAAAGAAGGAAAGTGATATCATCACTTGGCCTGTCTCCACCCCTTCCACCCATCTCAACATCTGGGAACACATCTGGAAGACAAAAGCTTTAAACTAAGAAAGTTTGGTTCCAGGCTGGAAAGGGAGTTCAGCCTGTGTATTGGGGAACTGAAACCTGCTTGTGCCATCTGTCAGGATGAGAAAAGCTGCTTGATTCAACTCTTGGTTAGACTAAAAGTTTAGGATTTAGCAAACATGTTTACTTTTTATTTTCTTAAGTTAACTATCTTTGACCATTATGCCTACCCCTTATAATCACTTAAAAGCTATCTTTCTGTATTTAATAAACATATTTTAATGTTGTATCCTTATAAGTGAGTTTGTGTAAAGTGCTTAGGAAATCTCAGCTCAGGTTACAAAGGCTGGTGCACATCCACTTTCCTATGAAGAAGTGGTGAACTAAATAACGAAATTACACTGGTCAGGCTTCTGACCCAGTGCAAGACAGTACAGTTCTGGGGTGCGAGGCTGGGGAGCTGGGGGGAATTGACTGCAGCTTCCCTGTTAATGGTTCATGAGTGACTGGGAAATCATTCATGTATCAAAGTTGGGGGTGTCCATGCCTGTGTATGTCTGTGTAAAGGGCAGTGCCTGTCAAGGTTTTGCAACTTGACATTAGCATCACAGTGTGAGGGCCAACCCAGGTTGGTGGGTTTGGAGGGCTCAACAGTCCCAAAAGCCAGGTGGCACCCTGGGGACCCCATCACAGAGACACTATTCATTTTCTGAATTTCTTTTACTATGAGAGAGAGACTCTGTTTTCAATATATGCAAGTGATTAATTTATAATGTAGACCACACTGACAGACACACTTTAGAGGTCGGGGACCAATACATTACTTGCTCAGTTATTCAAAAGGGACAGAGAATAATCTAGTTTAAAGTCCAAAATGGTCATTAGTTTGGATTTTTCACTCATTTTACTGACTAAAAAGCTTCTAAAGACAATATTAGTATCCAAAATATTACGTATAAACTATTGTGGATCAGTAAGAAACAGCCTAATATCACTGGTGCAAAATACACACTTCTGTTTAATGGGCCAAGTTATGATGCATCTGAAGATTTGTGGAAGTGCTCTGATATTCATGACCAGGATCAGAGGACTGGCCACTGAAAATAATTGGAACAATACATTGCAGAAAATCTAGTCAAAGTTAGAAGAGATTGTCTATAAATTGTAGAAAATCTAGTCACTGAAGGAAGATCAAATATAATTTCCCCAAAGTTAGAAGTAATCAAGGCCATTTAAATGTTTCTAAATGTCTTTTGAGCATTAATAGACAATAAATGTGCATCCTACTGGAAGATTCTGGCATTGTGGTGCAAATATAATTTTTTTTCTAATATCATCATAGGCAAGTCTTCCTTTCCACAAACCAGTTTGTGTTACCAGTACATTAATTATTTATGTATGCTGTGTTGTAGTCATGTTGGTTCCCAGATATTAGAGAGACAAGGTGACCTGAAGAAGAGCTCTGTGAAAGCTCAAAAGCTTGTCCCTCTCACCAGCAGAAGTTGGTCCACTAAAAGGTATTACTTAACCCACCTTCTCTCTATAATAATTTATACCATTTAAATATCTGAGTACTTGATTGCTCCAATGTACATGAAGAACAACGGGCTCACCTGACCCAGAAAACACCAATGTGATTCTAAGTGGAAGAGGAAAATGCTTTGAGGAACTGGCAAATATCAGTACTTCATCCTCAGCTGAAGTCAAGATAACACACAGCCTTCGGGTCATGCTGGACTCGGTACTGACTCTGGAAGCACAAACTGCAGCAGTTACTAAAAGTGATCTCTCCCCTCTCCAGGTAGTAAGAAGACTCCATCCATTCCTCTGGTGAATTAGCAAAAGTGGTTTGTGCACTTGTCACCTTTAGAATATTTCCCTCTTCCTGGGCCAAGATAAGAAGTTCACAAAGAAGCAGGAGTTGGTGTAGAGTTCCGTCTACTGAGTGGATCATACCATTCATGTTATGCCAGTGCTTTTCAACAAGAACTGATTTAATCCTGGATTCACTACAAGTGTCTAGAACTGATTTACAAACCCATTAATGAGATACGGTCATACTATCCAAAGGATTGCCTCTTTTGTTTGACAAGCCAGGGAAACTCATTGCCCAGTACCCTATGGCTAGCAGAGCCAAGTATAATCTTCAGGGAACCAGAGACTAACCCTCTTCAACTGCTCTGTTTTTCAAAAGGGATAGAGAATAGTCTAACTGAAAGTCCAAAGCGGTCATTAGTTCGGATTTTTCACTCTTTATTTTACTGGTTTAAAAGGAAGTACTTCTTCACACATAGCATAGTCAACCTGTGGAACTCGTTGCCTCTGTATGTTGTGAAAGCCAAAACTAATACTGAATTCAAAAAAGAATTAGATACATTTATGGAAGATAAGTCCATCAGTGGCCATGCACAGGGGGTCCCTAGGCCTCTGACTGCAAGATGTTGGGACTGGATGACAGGAGATGGATCACTTCGTAATTGCCCTCTTCTGTTCATTACCACAGAAGCCTCTGGCATTGGGCACTGTCAGAAGACAGGATACTGGCCTAGCTGGACCATCGGTCTGACCCAGTATGACCATTTGTGTGTACTTACGCTCATACGAGACTCTGGAACACTCTTCCAAGGGTGATCCAGAAAAATCTAACTCTCACCATTTTCAGCTCACATTGCAAGTCACATGTCTTTGCCAAAGCCTTCCAAAAAGCAGAAGAGAAGAAAAATCCAGCAGTGTGTTCAAAGTTAGAAGCCGTTAATTAAACTACAGAATTGGATGGTATATTGACTGCACCAGTGGGACAGATTTCACTGTTTTCTGTAATCTATGTGTTTATACTTTACAGTGATTGGCACCATAGAAATGCTCTTTCTCCTCCTCCCCCATATCCTGTCCCTTCATAACGCTGAAACATTTTTCTATTTAACATTATCAGAATATTCTCTTTTCAATATCCCAACTACTTGCACTTGCATCCTTGGTGGACATTTCTCACCTTGACTACAGGAACCTACACCTCTTCATCAATCCTATTTCTCACTTCACCTTCTAGTGCATCCAAATGCTCCTTCTACCTAATCCATCTGGGAATTTATACAATAATGAGAAGTATGGTATCTGAGTGCCTGCTAAAGTCATCTTCCTCTCTGGTTGCTCTGACCTTTTTATGCCATCTCCTTGAACCACTTTACTGGCTTCCTGCATTTTATTTCATTAAATTCAAGCTCCTTGTACTCTTCTTAGGGCCTTACATAATCACTATTTTCATTTCCTTCTACCTCATGCCTGCTCCTTATACTTCTCCAAGACCTTTCATTACTGATTCCTTCATCTCCTTCTCCCATTCTCAACTTTGTACCTTCATCCATTCTGCCACCTGCATCTGGAAAAGTCTCCCACATTTTGTCCATGCAGTACCCTCTCTCTGCTAAAATTAAAACCAGCTTCTTGCAGGACTGCACCCTCCTTGTTCCCTTTCCCAGTCTCTCCACACACACCCTCACTTTCTTGACCTGTTCTCCTGTGTCTTGTCTTAGTTTAATTTGTCTTGTTTACCTCTACCTTGGAAGTGCTTTTGGCTCAGACTTGAAACCACTTACTCCCACACATCTGCTTATTCCCACAGATGAGTGATCTTCCTGGAGTAAAGCTGTACCATACATCCATCTGTTCTTTGAGTCTGCTGAAGTATTTTAGAGATTTTTATGTGGGAATGTTAAGACCCTGAGCATTCCAAGAAAGAAAGTTAAGGGCGGCCATAATTTAGAACAGTAAAAGCCTAAAGCATTGTATTTCTGATTAAGAAAAGTGGGATAGGGGAATGATGAAAGCTGTAAGAATTCCAGTTAGACACAGAAAAAGAAAAAGAAAATAAGGTGAAGCAGGAGCAAAGGAAGCAGAACATTAAAGATAAGAGACACAGATCCTTCCCCAAGGAATGGGAAATAGAAATAAAATAGAGCTTGGGATATCTTGAACTAAATCAGTGACTGACCTTATCTAACGCTTACTTTACCTTTTCTGTTTTTGTCTCTGATTTTTGGGTATATGCTCATTTAAGTCTGCAAAGATGTATGCATTGGACTCCCTGAGCATTGAAAGGAGAATACACCCAGAGTACATCACACCCAAATATGGCTAATATTAGTGGACTTTGAATAGTTACCACCTTTGTCCATGATCCTGCAAGGTATTCTGCAAAGGTGAGGAGGTCCCCCTGCATAGAGCTCCCTTACAGGGTATGGGCCTTATTGTGGAGTAGCCCTCCACAGTTCTAGTGGGGATGAGGTCTACAGTGTACTAAGGGAAAGGCTAAAGCCGTGCATCAAAAATATAAATGCATCTGTCTTTATAGGCAAAGCTATTTGTCCTCACTGTGTATGCTCTCCAAATGCTATACTGTGCTAAGCAAAATGGATACAAAATTTCCATTATCAAAAGGCTCCCTTTCAGCAATATACATCGTGGAGTTGTGTGCAAGTGACTTCACAGGTTTGTCCCACAAGCATGATATGGATGTTTATCACTGAACACTTTGCGGATGAATTAAAATGGGTGAAGAGGGAACACAGAGAATGGAATCTTAGTGACAAATATTTGATAACATTACAGACTGCAACATATATTTTCAGATTCCATATGCCACAATTGTTTATGTGTGGTAGGCGTGTCAATTATTGTAATACTCCTAGAAATTAAGATTGGAATTGATGGGCTTTGTATTCTTTTCCAGCAGTGATACAGCTTGCCTGTAACAAATATCTGTTCAAAATGTAAGAATCTGCAAGTGTCTCAATGTTTAAAAAATTCCCAGAGGTTAGCTTGTTACACTTTTTAATTGATGCAAATAAATACATGCTTCATGCAAGATAGCTCTGCATATGGACTGTTTAGTCTACCATAATGTTACTATTAGTTAGTTTGTACTGTTGCAAGAAAATTTTTGCAAACAAGTCATTCCAAATGGTATTGTTCTAGGTAAAATATTTTATATGAAAGGCATTTGCTCAGAAAAGTCATTAATTTTTTTTAAAGGTTCCAAAAGTAAAGTTGTTAAACAGTGTTGGTGGCTGCCTAGCGTAATGTATTAATAATGGGATCATTAACTTTTAATCACTAAGTCACCTGCTCCAATTTGATCTAGATTGGTTGTAACCAAAAATTGTTGCCATCTGATGGCAGTTATGTTGAATGAGCTGGGTCACAGCCCACTAGACAAGGATCCAAATCACAAAAACATCAGTTGGTGCCAATTAGTATCCTTGCTATCAGTCTTAGCAGAGAGGCCAAGGGCATGGTGTCTCAGCTACTCTCTTACCCCTAAAGCTGGTCTCTCCAGGTCAGGGTTGAGGCACATTGGTGGGACAACGTAGGGAAGTTTGCACTGCTGCTGCCCATGCTGTAACTGCTCTATAAATAAATAGAGGACTTTAGTCTCCAGGGCTGTCAATTTGGCACCTTCCATGAAAGTCACATTTAAAAAAAATCATAAACTTCATGAAATAATTTAGTATCTCCAATCAAAACAAAGTGAGTGTATTGGTACGAGAGCACCTAAAATCCCACAGCTTCCATTTGCTCTCTGTATTTTGTGTTTTCTACTCTTAATTGTGATAAGAATAAAAGTTATGGACCTCTTTTGGAGTTTCTTGATGACAACGGTTGCTGTTCCACCACAACTCCAGCGCTGCCACCAAACACGCAAGAAGAAGGCCTACTGCTAAAATGCAGAAGACGCCTGCAAAACTGTGAAGCTTCAGTGCCTTGCCATCTGTCTGTGCATTGGTGTGGCTGTTCAGGTCACAACGTCCCATCCGCGGCCACCATTTCTGTTTGAGTACATCCAAGTCTCCAGTGTCTTGTAATTCTAAGATCCTGCAGAAATTTTAAAACAGCCATTATTTCAGTTTATTTCTGTATATTGTGTATGCATTTATCAGCAACTCTGCAGCCCTGGAATCCTGATATTATGATTGGGCTGCAGAAATTATCTTTCGACAGGAATTCAGTGTTATTCAGTGGAATTCTGTCTTTAGGGCAGAGCATCTCCAGCAGGACCGGTGTAATGCTATGGTTGCAGGACTTTCTTGCTCTCTGTCCATAATAAATCAGTGAGGTAGATTTCCTGCATATCAAATATTCACTGTACATTTTCCTTAAGCACTGAAGTGGTTGTGAGAGTGCCACTTTCACAAGCATAACTTTCAGTAAGTAACAAGTTTGATGAATATCTCCTAGTCAAATGTAATTTCATCCAAAAAACATCCCCCTGGGAAGGGGTGAAACTAGCTACTCTTTTATACCAAACTTCAAACTGTATATTCCAGTCCAGAGCAGCCACAAGACTTCACAGATCAGCTTTAGAAATAAGTGTGACTTTAAAAACTGCTCTTAATCAGCAAAGCTTTAGCTAGGGCTTCACTTAAAATTTTGGCTTTGGTCAGATTTCCAGTAGATTGTAATGGTTATTGAAGAAGAAACAGCTCATGAAAGATTCAACTCTCCCACCCATACATGGTCCATCATAATAATTTCAAATTATATTTGAATCAAGCATGCAACCATTTGCACAGTACTTAATACAAATTGGTTTAAGCAGCAATAGAGTTGCCTATTTCTGCTTTGAGCTACAGCAAATGCAGCTCATTCAAAAGTATTTTATTACAATGCTATTACTTTACTCTTGAAGTAGTGTGTTAACAATTACTAATTAATCATTGTTTCCCATTTGTGAAGTGTCCCCTCTCTCCATGAATGATTCATTTTGGGTCTAGTTTGATAACTGCCTTTGCTATTTAATAACAAGCTTTCCTTTCGAGGCAACTTTGTCTCTGGTTATCACGAGAATTCAGGCGGACTGCAGCTGGTGTTTTACCGCTTCCTAAAGAATAATGCACACAAACAGAAAGTTTGCCTTGGCTTTTTGCATGTAGCTCTGTGCTCAGCCACTTTCTACTAAGGCTGCATGTATCTACATCACCGGGCAGATGTTTGCTTTAGCATAAGGGGAAAGTATATATGTATACTTTTAAAAGATTCTGATAGACTGGGATCACTGAATTGTGATAGACGGAGTAGAGTCACTATCTTTCTGAACCCATGCAATCACTCAATTCCTATTATCTGCCTATTCTATAATGATACATAATAGACAGCATTGCTTTTCTCATATGGATCAATGCTCCCCCCGTCTAAAGACGAAATTGTGGCTTTGACACAAGCCCTGAGTTTCACTGCCCCAAAAGCAGCCTGGGAAGCAGATTGTGACTCAGAGAGTTACAGTCTCCTTCCCAGTTAACCCACTGCTCTGGGGAATGTATCAGGCACACCATGGGCTGCCCGGAGCGTTGGGAGCACAGCCAATGTTCCATGCATTTCCAGCTCCCTCCAACCTACCCCCTGACCACATGCACAGGAGAGGAAGTAGCAGCTTTGTTGAGGTTGTTCCCCACCCCTCTGCCCTAAGCCCTAAAGGAAGAGAATTGGTTAGTCTCTAAGGTGCCACTAGTACTCCTTTTCTTAATTCAAACAACTGATTTCAAAAGATAGAGATTCATTTAATAAACACACATTGCCAAAGTTAATCAGCTGTGAACACGAGATTTGTTGGTGCAGAGAGGAATCCTATGAAATAAGCATGGTTTTGCATTACCTTTGGGAGAAGAGATCCCTGTAGGGGCTGCCATGCTGGAGTGCGATCCCATACCCTTTACTACTGATGCGGTTTCCAATGACGGTCACAGAACACTCATCATCTGTCAAGGCTGCATATTCCACAACTGTTACATCCCACAAAAAAGCATAGTTGCCTTTCTTTGCCTGCAAATGCACCACAAATAGAACTAAATTATATAGTTGATCGAGGGCTTAAATGGGTCTTAAAGTCATGCTGAGCCTTTCATTGACTAGTGCTGGCATTTTGTTAGTTCATAACAACATTTTAGACCTCTCACATCTTCAGACACTTCTAAAGCCCCCACAACAGTTCCTCGTCTACTTCACACCCACCTTCGAGCACTCCCATTGTTTCCATGAGCCAGAGAGGTGCAGAAGGCTGGGTGCGAGACTTTTTGTGTGTGACATGACTAACTTCAGGCCTCACATGGGTCTGTTAAATAATTATAACTTAAAAGATATCACTTTAAATTATATTATTTGATATGGTTTCCCTAGGATTAGTGAAAGCATATTACTTCTTCCACTTCTACACAGTTACACACCTGGGTAGACACACTGTAAGCACTATGGTATGTTCTAGCAGTCACGGTCACCAAAATGGTAGTTACCAAAAGCAAAAAAAAAACCCTTTGAAAAGAGCTACTCTAATCTGCAACTGTCATAAATATAAAGGGAAGGGTAAACCCCTTTGAAATCCTTCCTGGCCAGGGGAAAGCTCCTCTCACCTGTAAAGGGTTAAGAAGCTAAAGGTAACCTCGCTGGCACCTGACCAAAATGACCAATGAGGAGACAAGCTGGGAGGAGGGAGAGAAACAAAGGGTCTGTGTGTCTGTCTATATGCTGGTCTTTACCGGGGATAGACCAGGAATGGAGTCTTAGAACTTTTAGTAAGTAATCTAGCGAGGTATGTGTTAGATTATGATTTCTTTAAATGGCTGAGAAAAGAATTATGCTGAATAGAATAACTATTTCTGTCTGTGTATCTTTTTTGTAACTTAAGGTTTTGCCTAGAGGGGTTCTCTATGTTTTTGAATCTAATTACCCTGCAAGATATCTACCATCCTGATTTTACAGGGGGATTTCTTTATTTCTATTTACTTCTATTTTTATTAAAAGTCTTCTTGTAAGAAAACTGAATGCTTTTTCATTGTTCTCAGATCCAAGGATTTGGGTCTGTGGTCACCTATGCAAATTGGTGAGGCTTTTTATCCAACATTTCCCAGGAAAGGGGGGGTGCAAGTGTTTGGAGGATTGTTCATTGTTCTTAAGATCCAAGGGTCTGGGTCTGTAGTCACCTAGGCAAATTGGTGAGGCTTTTTACCAAACCTTGTCCAGGAAGTGGGGTGCAAGGTTTTGGGAAGTATTTTGGGGGGAAGGACGCGTCCAAACAGCTCTTCCCCAGTAACCAGTATTAGTTTGGTGGTGGTAGCGGCCAGTCCAAGGACAACGGGTGGAATATTTTGTACCTTGGGGAAGTTTTGACCTAAGCTGGTAAAGATAAGCTTAGGAGGTTTTTCATGCAGGTCCCCACATCTGTACCCTAGAGTTCAGAGTGGGGGAGGAACCTTGACAGCAACAAAAGGTAGGATTCAAATTTTAGAGACCAATTTTCTCCCTTAGCACGGAAGAGTCACCAGATTCTCCCACTAGCTTTATTTGTGACCAATATTGACTTATTTTAGTGCACACCTATACAGCTGTCCTCAAATGTCAGCCTTAATTGGATTCAAACTAATGTCTGAGTGCACTGCACATGATGAATGTAAATTACTTTACTTAACATAAGATGTAAGAAATGTCTCTGGATGGGGATTTTAATAAAAAAAGTCATTACTTTGCTTGGTTAAAGTAATAATTGATTTCCTAATGTATTTAAGTAATACGTTTTTTAAGTCTCGAGTGAACATACAAAGCACAGTGGAACAGATGGGCTGGAGAATCTGATGCAAATAAATGAGTAATCATAGATGCAGGCTTCCAAGACTTAATTTTTTTAAGTTTGGGTGATTTGTCTTTTCTCATCAAGTAAAAAAGAGTTGGCAAGGAAGGAAGCTGACATTCTACATATATTTGTTTACAAGATTAAATCCTCAAGCACTCTCAACTAGCGGCCTCATTTCTGACCATAAGCAGTTCCCAGTGGTTCTTTTCCATCTCCTTGTAAGATTGACCTAGAAGACAAGACTCTCTCAGTTGTTTTATATCAGCTGCTGCCTGCTGGAGTCTGGGCTAGGGAATTAAACCCATTTCCCTTTAGCATGCTTGGTGCTTAATGATCACAGTACACTGAACTCCTTGATGGCTATTCAAAAAGAACAAGAAACCAAATGTGGGTGAGTGGCCCTCCAGTGACAAGAACCCAAACAACCAGAAAGGAAAAGAAACAGTTCTTGCTAATATTCACCCCAAACCAAAACACCCCAAACCAAGTCCCACTGTTCCCCCTCTTCTGGGTCAAGACACACAAAAATCCCAAAAGCCCCCTGGAAAGAGGGGCAGGAATCCCAAAGTCCCTTTCTTTAGGGTTTAAATAAACTGCATCAATTGTTTTTAGAAGGATTTCCTTGGCAGGCAGCTGGCTTCCTTCAGCATGGCTTGTGTGGCTTTCCATTACAGCCATTCCCCAAAGGCAGCCCATGTCTTGTTCTTTCTCCTCCTCTTATATGTTCCAGGCTAGTTTCCTGGAACGCTGATGGACTCCAGCTACTTCTCATCTGCCCATATACCCCTACCTCTTAGCACATTATCTCAGGCCAGAAAATCAGCCCCAGACAAACAGTATATCCCATCACACCAAACAACTACAGTAAGGCAGCAAAATAACAAATGCATATGTTCAGTAGGCTAAAATAATTCATTCATGTAACATGCTTTGAGAGGCTAGGATGACTCTTGCTGTATTAGTACAAAGTATTTTTACAGTTCCAAATACCACTTGGGCTAGGCAAATAGGAAGGACATGTGCCAGCATCGTGAATTAAGCCAGAGAGTGACACATAATTATTAATTATTATTATTATTACTATTATTAAAAACAGTCCAGAAAATGCCAATTCCTAAAAAGGCATCTCTGAGGTATTATACCACACCAAAACAACCCCTCAACATATTAGTATGCCTGACATTTCAGGCCCATCTGTCTACATTCCAAGTGGGCAGAGAGAGTTTGATGTGAATGGGGCAGGAATCAAGGACGCAGTTATCCCATATGGCTGGAAACATAAAAGTCTGTTTCTTCAAACATGTACAGCCATCTATGTGTGTACTGAATGATCCTCTACCCCCAACCATTGGAGTTAGTTGCAAATCTGTTCATATCAGTCTCTGTCCTACCTGTGAATATGCTTGTCTCTTTCTTGACTATTCCAATTTCATGTTAGCGGGAGTGTTCATTGTAGGACCATACTTCCATATCTGTGATCGATCTGACAGGATTTCTGGTTCAGGGCAATATGCATCTTTTCTAACCACGTCCACTGTTATACATAACAGCCTATTTGTATATTTTTAAGCCTAAGCTCCATAATAAATAATGCACCTGCATTATAAAGATGCAATTCTGCTGCATATACGTACAATTACACAAGAGGCCAGAAGGAACTGCTATGAAATCATTTGGTATCCCCAACACAGAATTTAGTCAAAGTGTGTAGAGCAATAAGGCCAGGGTGACCAGATAGCAATTGTGAAAAAATGGGATAGGGGGTGAGTAATAGGTGGGGGTAATAAGTGCATATATAAGAAAAAGTTCCCCAAAAAATGGGACTGTCCCTTTAAAAATGGGACATCTGGTCACCCTAAATAAGGCAAAAAACAGGCTTAGTGCTAATGGAGAGATGGGACTCATAGGAGATGGACTCTGAGACAGGTTATGTCGGTCTTGTTTTCTTCTAGTTTTCACATCTGTAAGTATTTGTTGCTTCAGAGTTGATCTGCAGACAGCTGTCTTGAGCTTCCAGTCTTCAGAAGGGGAGCAGAGCCAATTTCTATACTAGCATACTCTTATTTGTCTCAGGGCTGCTTGGGGAAACATTAACTTCCTCAGGCATTCCATTTCCATTACAAGGCAATGTCTGAAAAATCATGCAGCTATGGCCTCTATTACCCAAGCTGCCCTGGATCTCTATTTTGCCCAGAGAAGCTTCCCACTACTGAGTTACAGTTGGTGGGAAGCCTTTTGACAAGGTCAGTCTCTCTCTGCCGTTTATGATATTGCTATCCTGATGATGATCTGAGACTATGAAACAGTAAATAAAGTCCACCAGGCCTTTGTGTATCAGTTATATATTTTTGTGATATAACCAATTCTGCCCAGTGCCATCAGAACTGTATATCATTATTTCTTTGAAATCCTCAGGATTTTAGCATAAACAGAAGTCTGAGTTATAAACCCTTAATTATGCACACTTCTCAACCTCCAGAAATCCTGGAGGAGGTAAGATTGTTTTCTTTCTCTGATTGCCAAAGAGAGAGGTCCCAAAGATCTTTTTTCCATGGAGATGATTTTCTTTTCTGCCGTTTCCTCTACTTTCATAATATTTGCTTCTTTAAAGAAGGGAGATTCCTTTCTCTTAGTATTTATATTACATAAAAAGCTTCCTGTGTGACCAAATATTTGGCTGCAGTCTAAATTCAGCACACTTCAAATCCACATTAACATCCAATCTGACAGGTAGGCAGTATCATTTGTGCAATTTAAAGAGGGGCTGTCGCACTGGGAAAACTTAAAATTATATGCAATATAGTTACCTTTCATATGCTTTTCATTAGGGATGTGTGAAATGAGCTGGAGAAAATACAAACTGATGAGAACTTTCACCCCAAATCCTAACAACCTCTTTGAGTAAGTCCTGTTAATTTTTGTTTTCATTGCATTTTGAACTTCTTGACATTTTCAGGTCCAAGCCAGTATCAGAAATGGATGGGTCAAAGTGCCATAATTAAGGCTTTTTTCATGGTATTTGGGACCCAAAATGAAATCTGGAAGTGTTAGGGGCAGCTGTCAGTGGAAAGATATATGTGTGTATAGACGGTGGAAGGAAGGGGGCAGATACACGAGGCAAGAAAGGGGCTAGGGTTCTTTGGAGGAGCAGGAAGTGTGAAGTGGAATAAGAAATACCTTAAAATGTATACATTGGGGA